TTCTTAGCTTCGTTATCTTTTTTAACTTTGACAGCAGAATACAGTATATGAGAGTATATTTACCATGTGATGTTTTTATAATAAATCTTTTGATTTCTCAAATACATTTCTCAAAAAAAAAAAAAAAAAAAAAAAAAAATTACCACTCAAATATTCACTTTATGTAGAATCATACTGAAAATATTTGAGTTATGTGTTACAGGCACTTATTAATTGACATATCAATGTAAGAGAGTTTGAAAATATTATGAATATGTGAGATATGTTTTGATACTCTAAATGTGCAGAGAGAAAAGCTGTCAGGGACAAGAAATATGTCTAAAGAAGAAAAAAGAGAAGAAGGAAGGTCTTTCCCCCTTCTGGTAATTATACATATCCGTTTGGCAGTCTGTGCTAATATACAGTCCTTTGACTAAACGTTGTCGTTGATTCAGGATCATCCCTACGCGCCTAGACCGAAAAGGATAACGGGTAAATTACTCAGAACTTGCGTCATCCAAACTGCTCAGTTCAGTTAATTTAATCATATTTCACACCACCTAGAGTTTACATTACAGTTCGCCAGTTTAAATCTTCGCCGTATGCTCGAGGCATGGTTTTAGCAAATTAAATGGGATCGAAAAAAGCGAGCTCAAGACGTGTTAGATAACATATGCAGCAGCTAGTAACTGTGAATTATCCCCATGATCCTTTTAGGTCTAGGCACGTAGGGATGAAGCCGATCAAACGACAATGTTTAGTCGAAGGACTGTATTAAAATTTCAGAAAATTATATTTTTGGATGGTTTTGAATTTTGGGTAACTTTTTTCACTTGACTACAAATTAATATCAATAATGCAAAATAAAGAATAAATGTAACACTTGTACATATATCCGCAAACGTATTTTCCGAGCTAATAAAAAATATTATTATATATTATTATTGTTAAAATATATTTTCCTATTTTCAACAGTCATCGATAGAAACTCAAGAGAGCCAATTGTCAAGTGAAACTAGCACTGTTTCAGGGGATGTCGGCGCTCTAGATCCCGTGGTATGAACGTTTACAAGCATTTCCACTTAGTAGCCCTCTTAGTCATCTTTTAATTCCTGCAGCTCTTTGGGATCCCTGTGTAACATTAATAAATACTCCACAGGTAGTCCAACCACAGGTTAAATGTGGGTTAGATTTTGGGTAAAGAAAATTAAAAAAACCGTTTAACTGGCTCAATCCAAAATCTAACCACAAAGGTACTACTTTTCAAAGGCCAGCTAAGATTTCTTTACTATTTTTCACATTATGAAAATTTTATTGAGGGTTTAAAGAATCGCCATACATCTTCTTATATGACACCACAGAAACCTAGCTTGGCTACCTGTGGTCCAACAAAGAAACAAACGAGTCTCCCCAATGCAAAGAACTATTATCCAGCAATCCTAAAGGGAGTCTTTAACCATACATAATGTTTCAGTCACTAGACAACTCGCAAGATACAGCCTCTATCAATGATTTGCTTGGACAAGGTGGATTGCCCTCGACTGATGACAGCAGTAATGGAATAAATGGCATCACAAGCTCTTCTGAAAATTCGGTACATATAATTCATATCTGATACAGTAAACACCCACATATAAACCCCGCTGAAATTGCCTGATTAGGTTCTTTAGAGGTTTTTAAATTCAAAATTTTATCTGATAATATGTACAGTATATATACTTGATTTTTATTTTAATTAGTGGAAAATATTGAAGAAATAGAAAACGCGCGCGCGTGCTGTGTGCTGTCATAAAGCACGCGGGGGTTGTCAGAACACGAGAGAAGTGTTAGGAGAAGCACGACGCGTAGCGGAGTGCTTCTCTAGTACACTTCTCTCGTGTTCTGACAACCCCCAAGTGCTTTATGACTGCACACAGCACAGCAAGCAAGTTTTTTATTTCTTTTATAAAATACAAATTACAATAATAGATAGGAATGACGCAACGGAAAGTGCGYGCGCGTGCAATGTGCTCTCATAAAGCACGCGCTCCAAACCAATCAGAACGCGACATTCATAACAGTTATTTTATAACGAATAATAGAAAACGATATTAATTTGGGACAAGCACTAGTTTGTTTTTTTGAATTTAGGTTAAAAGTTCCACAAGTTTTTAAACCGTTTACATCACATGAATTTCAAACAAGCTTGGGGGATGTGTATGGTTCATAAGGGAGCGAAAGTCAAGTTAGGAGAAAGTACTAATGAAAAATAGAACTTTTTAATGCAATGTAGAATTGGGTTTGACATTCTTTCTTTCAACTCAAATAAAACATCAGGGTAGTCCAGTCATTGGCGATATGCCTCTGTTATCAAAAAACCCTGACACATATGTGCAAAAAGAACAGATACAACTTCAAATATCTTAAAATTTACAATATTCACAATACTGATATCTATATTAAGGAATGTGAATTTTATCTTCCCGTTCACCGATTATATTTCAGTAGTACATCACACCTGTGAAGGCAAGGTAATTAAAAAATAATTATTATTTCCTATGCAGTATGAAAGAAATTAAGGCAAACGAGGGAGCCGGAATCAAGTACAAAGAACAGAAACAAGGAAGGAAGGAAGGAAGGAAGGAAGGAAGGAAGNGAAGGAAGGAAGGAAGGAAGGAAGGAAGGAAGGAAGGAAGGAAGGAAGAGAGAGTGTAGAAAAGAAAGAAACCAAAACACAGCAAAGGAAAAGAAAAGGAAAATAAATGTTGACTTTGGATGTACATTTGAATCAATGTTTCTTGATTTTTTTTCTTTGAAATAAAGCAAGAAAACCACTCGAAAGAACATTATTGTTGACTTAGAATCAAATTATGCAGGAAAACTTGAAGTAGAATATATGTTAATATTTCGATTTTATCGAAAAAAAATTATTCAACAAAATTATTTTTAAAATGTTTAAAAGTTTTGAAAATGATTTTGGAATAAAATCGAAATATAAACATCTATTTTCCTTCAAGTTTTTTGTATAACTTTTAAAAATTTTAAGTCAACCTACAATCTAATGTTCTTCGGAGTGGTTTTTGGTTTTTGTTTTCAATTCTTTGTTTCATATATTATTGAAATATTAATACATTTTTATTGTTATAACAGGATCAAAACAAACAAGATACAACATTAAGCACCGTCTTATGGATGAAAAATATTGTCGTACAATTAATTGTTATAAAACCATGTTCAAGGTTCCAATTTACCGCTGTGTTCCTTAATCGCAGACTCGTTTTAGTTAGTCAGGGTTAGTCTAGAATCAGTGTCTAAATATTTACAAATGCCACAGTAAAGTAAAGAATGCACAACTTCAACAAACAAGCACTTTGGAATTTCATACAGACCTTGACTGGAACACAAGAGTACTCTACACACAATCGAGGCTAAGTGATTTTATTGCTATGTCCTCGAAATCAGTTAGCTGTTTGAAAACTTTTTCCTCTTTATTTTATCTTCTTATAATACATAAGGGTTTTAGTCTCTAAGCACCCTCAACCTATTATCATTCATATATATTTTTATTATTGTTGTATTTAAAAGAATCCCTGTTAGCCTATTGACAGATCCAGGATGATTTTAGAAAGCTTGTATACACTTATTTCAATAAAGTTAGGGATGAGGGCAAAATGATTGTCATCTCTCGATACCCGATTTAAGGGGAAGGGGTGGTGTTACCCGGTACCCACCACCTCTGGAAGTGAAATCTTAGATTTTGTCTCCAAATATCTCCAAAACTAAAAGCTAAATCACAGAAATGAATAGACTGTCTGTCCGCATGTATGCTAAAAAACATATCTGTGTATAGAAATTCCCATTACAGACCCCCAGTATCGAGCATTTGAACAGGTCTCCGAGGGGGGAGGGGGTATGTACCGTTACCCACCACCTTAATTCCTAAAATTGGGTCCCTATTTTGGACCATTGTTTTGACCTCGCCCCTTCACCAAAAAAAACAAAAACAAGAAAGCTGAGATCACTGAGGATCCTGGGTAACTTTTAATATGATCAAACAAGTAAAACTTTTTTGATACAAACTGCAGCTTGAGGATGCTCAGAAGAGGTGAGACTGTAGATAGAAGATGTGCAAGCCCATCAACAGTTATCAAGCGGTTGAAACATGTAAAATATATCTACCCATAATCCTTGTTGGTCTGAGCTTTGTAGCTCTTCAGGTGACTAACTTTATTGAAATAAGTAGATATCAATATCTTCCTCAATAGATATTACATTACTTTCTATTCTTAAGTTAAAACTCCAAAGGAGAGGGAGGTTGCTAGCCACTACATATAAACCCCTGGAGGATTCGCCACTGGAACCTTTGATAAACATTTGCCATAACTAATTTATTGATTTATTCATTTGACTATTATTTTCCTTTATTTTTTCATTTTCATTTATAACTGTGATTATTTACTTTAGTAATGAAAATATTATTTACTGTTATTACTTACTTCGATAATACAAAGAAATATATATGAATAAAAAATATTGTTAATTGTTATCCAATCACAATTTTAAAACTCAGTAGTTACCCACAGGTATAGGTACATCTTTTTATTGTATCTGAGATAATAAAAACATCACTTATCTATACATGTAATTACCTATTTAATATCCAATGTCTAAGATCGAATGGAGTCAGTGCAGACTAGAGGTATTATGAGAATAAAATATATTTCTTAGGTTAAGTGCCATCACTAGAGCTCTAGTGACTCATATTTGCATGTCACAAACATTACTTACTTCAACATTTAGTCACCCAAAACCTACAAAGCAGCTGAGACCACTGAGGATATATCATGAGAACCTTTTCATGGTCAAACAAAGGTCAACAAGAGTATAAAGCTTGAAACAAACTGCATTTTAAGGATGTTCACAGAATTGTAAATGGCAAAGTGCACTGTAAATTCGACAGMGCTGTTTCAATCCTAAAAATGGACTAGCAACCTCCCATTTAACATTACTATATAATGAACAATTATTAACTAGCATATTTGATTTTTTTACATTTTCTGTCCTCTATGCATGACTCTATGTACATTGTGCACTTGATACAAAATGAAAAGAAGTTTATGAGTTTTATTTCAGTGATAGTCTTGTGTGTGTTATTCTTCGTTACTTGACGATGATTCCAAAACAGATATTTTCACCTCTTTTTTTCAAGAACTCTTAATTTTTAATATTATGTTAATGTTTACACTAGTAAAACTGCCACCCTTAATTTAGCTCTGTATTGTTTCAAGCTTGTTGCAAAAAACCGGTTCCAAAGTATCGTATTTTGGGCTTTCAGTCCATTTTAGAAAATTAGAAGTGATTTGTTATTATTTCGCAGGTGTAAGTTGACCATGGCAATCGAATTGATTTTGTTGTGGTTGATTTTTCAGTACAAATCTTTTTGCACTTMATTTTGAAACAAAAACTTTAGGTATTATCTCCATCATGTCATTTGAAATTTTATTTGAGTAGTTTTTATTGAAAACAAATTGAGAGTTCTGGTGGAAGGCATGCTTCTTGTCATCATTTGTCCACGGCAATGCTCAAAAAGTTCGAGCACTCTGATGGAAGATCACTCTTCTTGTCATTCTGGCCACAACAATGCTCAAAAATTTTGAGCACTCTAGTGGAAGGTATGCTTCTTGTCATTTGTCCACAGCAATGCTCAAAAATTTTGAGCACCCCCATGGAAAAGAATGACCAATTATGAAGCATTTTGAAATAAACGGCTTAGAAAGTAAACTTTTATATGGGTAAACTATCATTGATGTGACAAATAGACCCTTCCACAGCTTTTTCAACTTTTTATATGGACTAGATAGGAAAATTCCATCGGATAATGCTGGAAAAACCACCTCAATTATCAATTTACCGGTTTCACTAACTTAAAATATTAAAACATGCACTACAATGATATGAAAAGGTGAACATTTATTGAGGAAAACACAAAAAGGGGACAGAACAGAAAACAGTTTGTTGAATTTAATAATGTAACATTATTGCATAAGACGATAAAATGCGGTATTCCACAAGGAAGTATATTAGGACCTTTATTTATTTTATTTATAAATGATACATCCAACTCTTCTAAACTTCTAAAATTTATTTTGTTTGCTGATGACACCAATGTGTTTTACTCTGACAAAGATATTAGTGACATAAATAGAACTCTGCATCAGGAGATGGAAAAAGTTTTAGATTGGCTAATTGCAAATCAACTTTCAATAAATCTGAAAAAAAAACCAAAACTATATAATATTCAAACCCAGACAGAAAAGACTGATTAACAACAATTTTTCACTTAAGCTAAATAATAACTTAATTGAACGTAAGTCAAGCACAAATTTCTTGGGGTTATAATTGATGAACATCTAATTTGGAAGAACATATTAATACAGTGTCAGGTAATTTTTTTAAAAAGTCTCGTTTCCATATATCCAAAAAGTCACTCTTCATGCTTTACTATTCCTTAGTATACCCTTATCTATACTATGGCAATATTATCTGGGGCTCTATTTATCAAATCAATCTATATCGATTAAAAATATTACAGAAACGCATTGTAAGAATCATTACCAACTCTAACTTCGATGCACATACTTCTCCTTGGTTTTCTCAAAATAATATATTAAGACTAGATGATATTTCCCTTCAGCCAGGTTTATACATGTATTGTATTGAAAATAAGATATTTCCTAACACTTTTCTTAGCATGTTCTCAAAAAGTTGTCAATTTCACTTCTATCCCACTAGACATTGTAACAATTTTAGACCAAATTTTTGTACTACAAAAATATCAAGAGAACAAATAACAAGAAATTCACAGTTGTTAGTCAGGGACCAAAAATTTGGAACTCCCTGCCCTACCAAGTAAAATCAGCACCATCACTACCATCGTTTAAAACTAAACTAAAACAACATCTGATTAGCTGTCAGTCTTGAGTCTACAATTTATAAAACATTTAATAAAACTTTTTTTTTTTTCAAAAGATATGATTAGCTCTACTAGTTACAATAAAACTCAAACAAACTTGCTTAATAATTGTAATTTAATATATTTATATCAAAATCATAACTATCATAGTTATCATTTTGATAATTATCATAATTACCATTTTTAATATTATATGCTCTCTATAAATAGCTACTCAATCTATACATTCTTGCAATTTAATTTATATGATTATCGTTGATTTATATCAAATCCTAAGTATATTTGCCTTTGTGCTTCTTTGTTCATTGTAATTACCTTAATTTACATTAAATTTTACTTTAGCTATACACAGGCAGCCCAAAAATATAAGCCTTTGGTTTCTCTTTTGAGCTGCCTACTATCCTTGAGAAAGTTATTTTACATGAAATTCATATTCATTGTATCATAAATGTATTGTAATCATCTTTTATATTCTTCTTTATACGAATTTTTTCTCAATATGTAATCTCTTGGATGGAATAATGATAATAAGATGATGATGATGATATATCCCACGTAAAGGAGGGTCGTTTTTTTGTTTGTCTTTGAAGGCATTTTTTCCGATATATAACTCCTAGTATACACCTAATTGCAAGAACTGCAAGAACGTTGTCATACAAAAATTTAAACAAATAAATTTTAAGAAAAATAGTGTAGTTATTTCCCTGTCTTGAAGGTATTGACTAACATTTTTCATTAGTTACCCGATGTTTGTATACAATAAAACAGATATTTTCATCAATCTAGGGGAAGTTTAGTCTCCTAAGCAGCCGCTATTAAAAGTTTTTTTATCATTCATTCCTATGTATCATAGTGATTTTACTTGGCCTATTAAAATATAGCAAGCATAGAACAGAAGTACATATCAAGTACTTACTATAAACGTGAACTACTAAGAATGTTAAAAGAAATATATATACACAAACCTATATAATAGTTAATACTTTTTTTATACTGTGTACTTAATTAAAATATATTTGAATACTATTAAAGTAACTTGGCAACGACGCCGGAGTGGACGCTGTGTTCAAGATATTTACGTCATGAATTAATTACCAACCAACACACCCCCCCAAATACATGCACTTGCACTATACTGAGAAGCCATTTTGTTAGAGATAGGAGCGAGAAAATTCGATTCGATTTGAAGGTTACTTTAACGTCTTTTCGCACTACAGTGAGTCGCTAAAAGGAATCATTGATAACTATCCGGCTTTGCAAATCGCTTTTTTGAGGCAAGAAACTTTCAACTAGCCTTATCTCGACCGTAATTCTCTATATACTAAGATAGCGGTCGCTTGTGTTGCCGGCCATTACAGTTGCAGTAAAGTCTCAGGGCCCCGGATATTAACTTGAATCTCTTCAAGAAAAGACGCCAATATGTCGCTTAAAGAGGTAAGTGTATCTCACGAAATTAGTTATGAATGCGTAGGCATGTCATTGTTAATGAAAAGTCATTTTCTTCATGCTTAAATTGTGTCTTTTTGAGAAATATCAAAATGGTAACACAGGTAGCCCCACAGGCAACCGAAGCTCACTGCATTTATAAGAGGATGTCTGTGGATTTAGAATATGACGTATTTTATTTGGAAAAACGAGAATAAACGTTTGTCGATTTAACTGTTGTGTCATTCTGTTTATTTTGAACTTCTGTATGGAGTTTCAGCAAGTTTCTATACATTCTCCTGTTATTGTAGTGAGCTTGGGTTGCCTGTCGTAGCCCAAGCTCTGCTTCTTTGGAATATATGAGACAATGTATGGAGGTTTTTGAATAAGATAATTTCCATAGAAAAACTTAAATAAAATTTGCCTATACTTCATGTCTTTATGTGTTGAATATTTGATGATGTCTATAACGAGTTTTGAGGAAATTTTGGGTCAGTTTTGATTACTCTATCTCATCTTTTAATTAATTGGATCGGAATTTTCACCATCCATCGATTGATTTCTGTATATATATAATATATTTATTTCTTATCGGAAAATGCAAACCCGTTTGTTCCGATTCAACGCGTTTCCGAGAAATCTGCTACGCTTGATTGACAACTCCGTTTTCCAAGAAGTTCGTGTGTTCCAATCTTGTTATTTGAATTATCATTAATTCATGTTTCGAGTACGGAATATTGTAATTACAAATTAAGTCATTGTAGTGATTACTGTTTAGGTATTTGATGCATGTTTAATCTTAAAGGAAGCTCGAATTAAAAAGCAAGAGGAAACCTATAGCTACCGGTTACTGAAGTTGTGCCGGGCTGCAYGCCTCTATATTATTTCCATACAGTACTATCTTGAGTATTATCATTCGGTGGAGACTGAATTTTGCACTATAGTGTCAAGATTCATCTTGTTCATGCATATCTATGGATACCTTGATCCTTGACCTTGATCACTTTAATAGAGCCAAGGACACGAGAAAGAAATTTACTCATTAAGAGATCATACCTGATAAGAGCCCAGAGTGGCTGGTGACATCGTGATCAGTATTCAAGTTCGCCACACGTTGGTTGTTCCCCAAATAAAAGGAATCCTTTCCCTGAAGTCCAACACACTGAATTATTTCAAGTTCTCACTTGAACATCCTAGAGGTTGTTGCAGCCGGGTTCGACAGTAATTTGAAAGCTGAAGACTTTCACTTCCGGGTTTGTGAAAAACAACTACACCATCAATAATATCTTTGCATGTGCACCATACTTCCATTACTGAGATACTAGAGCCACTATGGCCTCTATTACATCTAGCTGAGCAGAGAACATTAAAAAAATGCCACAATATAGGCTGCAGAACAACAATGTCTTTGACTAGGAAGTTTCGATGTTCATTTAGAACGATCTTTTCGAATACTAAATTTCCGTTTGGCTGGCAAAAATAGACCGTGATTTAATGTCTTCTCTCCGCACCATTAGACGTAGGGTACCTTTCTGCTTATGTACATATACATATATATTCATCGTACACTAAGGCTCACAAATTTAATGGTCCTTTTTTGTGCTGTACTTTAAGGGTCTTATCAAAAGAGCACCAATTATATTCATGCTTTCTTGGTCCTATATATAGCCACCGTGAGGGCTCGATTTTCACCTTCCAAGTGAACTTAATTTGCAGGTTTGCTCTAGCCGGCCAAATTTACTTGTCTCTTAAATCTGTCAGCATCAATATGCCTTTAGAAGAAGTAAGTGTCTCAAAGTTTTAATGCAATAACTTTTTTAGCTTGAAACAAGCATTCAAATCAAGATAAAACATATGTTTATTTTCTGCCGCTTCTTAAACTTCGTGAAGTGTTCGACTGATAAAATTATGAAACATGATGAAATCTGGTTATATGAAAATTACTTGGAGCTAATTTTAACTTAAATTAGTTTTGGTTAAAGTCAGGTCATAAATTCCCTAGTGAAATTTGTAAAAAAATACGAAATAATATTCCTTTAGCGGGAGGGTGCAAACTCATCAATGCAAACTCTCTTGAAAGCAGTTTCTTCCTTCTTATACGCATGTACTCGAAGCGAAATYCAATCGTATTGACGACCCGCTAGACGGTAGAAAATAGGTTATATTATTACGTTATATTACTTAGCTTAGATTTTACGGTTACTTGTTCGAATCAATGAGTCATCGATTATTTGCTGTTAACCACGACGACACTAACAGGCCAGGACTCATTACTGGCCTTCCCGCGGCTTCACGTATTGCTATAGTCGGATATTTCACTCGAACCCCTTCAAGAAACGCAGGACGTCAGTATGCCATTAGATGAAGCAAGTATATTTCACGAAATTAGTAACGTTTACAAGCATGCAGTTGCTAATGACAAGGCATGTTTTCACGCTTAGAAAGTAGCGTTAATTTTAGAGGAAAAAAATGGCGACAGGGGATATGGCAAAACCGATACTCTTCTCGGAAAGTCTCGGAATTTTACAGCTCTATCGACTGATTTTATCTTTTGTTTTTCAAGAAGCCGTGTAGATATATATATTTTTATCGGAGCAATTAAGTCAAACTTTGCAAACTTCACTCTTTCATAAATATATACTAAATATATTCAGTGTTTCCTGAATCTGGAAACGCTTTAGCCCCCCCACTTT